CTTTCCTGCCTGAGCAGGAGGTTGGACTAGATGACCTCCAAGGTCCCTTCCAACTTTATCATTATTATTATTATTATTATTATTATTATTATTATTATTATTATTATTATTATTATTATTATTATTATTATTATTATTATTGCCGCGTCCCTACGGCCACGTGATCAAAATTCGGACACTTGGCAACTGGCTCGCATTTACGACCGTTGCAGTGTCCCGGAGTCAGGTGATCTCCTTTTATGATTTTCAGACAAGCAAAGTCAGTGGGGGAAGCCGGCTTCTCTTAACAGGCTTGTTACTCACTTTAACCACTGCAGTGGTTCCCGTGGGCCGAGAAAAGCGGCACAAAACTTACTCAACCGCTGTCTTGCTTAACAACAGAAAGTTTGGGCTCCGTTGTGGTGATACGTGGAGGTGTCCCCAAAGAAGGCAAAGAAGATGCTGAGCTAAAACGTGATTGACGAAAAGGACCTCGTTCATTAGACCCGTGTGTCAGAAAGTTAAAACATTGCACAACTTTGCTCTGTTATTACGTCTCTGCTGTGGATATTAGGCTCTGGCTAATAAGTCCAACCAGTGGCCAGTAAATCCTCGTGCGCTCTTCAGGTTAATTAAATTTCTCAGCCCATTTTTTTTTTAAAAAAAAAAACTTGGAAAATTCCCAGCCTCTATTGTACGGTGATCATTAAGTTTTCCCACTGTCCTTCACCCAAGTATCCTTTATCATTTTCTACGCTGTCTTTGAGATTTAAATCAGCCAGGCCTCCACAAAGGGGCAACTTTCTGCATAATTCTGCAAAACCCTACACAAGGTAGTCCCCAGAGGCCCGGGAGGTGGGGGTGGGTGGGTGGGTGAGGATGATGGGCTTGCTTTGAAATGTATGCTATGTTCCCATCCTGAGAAAAGTCTGGTCTCGCCTTGAAAGTTTATTTTTAAGAAAAATGAAAAAAACCCACACACAATAGAAATGCTACATTTCCAAGATGTTTGCAATTTGACTAGACTTCTAGTGGAGAGCAGAAGAGGGCTGGAGAGGTGGGGTGGGCTGGGCTGGAAAGGTGGAGTTAAAAATGTATATGTTGTAAAGTTTTAGCCATTCCCTCTCAGCCGTTTCCCCTTATTTATTTTTAAAATCTCTCACACTATTTCATAGGCCACTGAAATTAAACTCTTCCTTTTAAAAATAAACCGTGGAAACTTCTCTCCTGCTTTGTTCTTCACGTCTACTGACGCAGCTTGACTTTTGAAAATTATTATTATTATTATTATGAATAATAATAATGTTTATTCCTTCTTAATCCTCATTCCTTGGGCAAAATAGGGGAAAAAAAAGTAGGACATGCCGTTGAGTTGCGTCAGACACCCGTTGTGTCCAGCTGTGTTGTGAGAAACCCGAAAACTTTCCATTACTCCAGATTTGGACATGCATATATACAGTATATTAATAGCACTGAAATGCATAGGTTTCCACGGGAGCGGGGAAATTGGTCTGAAATTTATGGGTCTCTATCTACAATATCCTCACTTCCAAATTTTTTCTCTCCCTGAATCAGCTCCACACTCTTCATCTGTTAATTTTAGAGAAATTAAGCCTTCCCAAAAGTTTTTTTTTTCCTTTTGGCTCAGGGAACCATTATTTGCAGGTATGTGGTCTAAAGCTGTCATTTTTCTTTCCTCTTGCAGATTTCTTATGTTTTTCCATGGGGGCCTCTGCCTCCCTCTTTTTCTATTTGTTTGATTTGTGTGTGCCATCAACTCTGCTTTTTTTCTTCTTTTTTTGGATTGCTGGACAGCCCCTGCAGTTTTCTTGGCAAGGTTTCCAAAGTGGCTTGCCCTTGCCAGCTTCCCAGGGCTGAGACAGAGTGACTGACTCATGCTCACCCAGCTGGCTATGAAGCCTAAGGTGGGACTAGAACTCACTGTCTCCTGGTGATCGGTCCAAAGTGCCGCAGCTGGCTTTCATGCTTAAGAATAACAGAGTTGGAAGGGACCTTGGAGGTCTTCTAGTCCAACCCCCTGCTCAGACAGGAAACCCTATACCATTTCAGACAAATGGTTGTCCAATCTCTTCTTAAAAACCTCCAGTAATGGAGCACCCACAACTTCTGGAGGCAAGTTGTTCCACTGATTGTTGTCAGGAAATTCCTTAGTTCTAGGTTGCTTCTCTCCTTGATTAGTTTCCATCCATTGCTTCTTGTTCTGCCTTCAGGCGCTTTGGAGAAGAGCTTGACTCCCTCTTCTTTGGGGCAGCCCCTGAGATATTGGAAGGCTGCTATCATGTCCCCCCTCGTCCTTCTCTTCGTTAAACTAGACATGCCCAATTCATGCAACCCTTCTTCATATGTTTTAGGTTCCGGCCGTCTAATCGTTTTTTCCTTGCTCTTCTCCGCACTAAGGCGGCACTAGAATTCACAATCTCCTGGTTTCTAGCCTGATGCCTTAACCACTACACCAAACAGGCTTTTTCCATTTATCCACTCCTTTTTAAGACTCCCAAGTGCTGAAGTTAGATTTAGCTTGTAAGATTAGATCTTGAGCCAAACGTTTTTCCACACAAAATGGGCTTGTCTGAATCCAGAGCCGTAACTGTGGCAAAATAAGACCTCTACTCTTAGAAGGCATGGTTCTTCCAGTCCAATTGCCCGTGGGCCCCAGACGCTTATCCCCAGTCTGAGTGGTGAATTCAGAGCAAATACATGGCCTTCGCTCCTCCAGAATCAAGCTGCTATCATTGGCAAAGCAATCCTACAATAAGTCTTGATGGAACTCTCGCTCCTTGATCATAGTCAAGATGGGAGATAAGGCCATCGTTGTTACCTCCATTTCTTCTCCTTCCCCAAGGCTGAGTTATACTGGGAAGTAGAGGTACAGGATCCTGCATGGCTATCTTATCTCCAAATGGTCAAAGACTCTTTTTTTTTAGCCTGAAAAAAACAACGGGGTCCCTATTTCTTGAAAGTGGTCTTCAATCTTCTTGAGCTGTTCAGTGCAAACACAAATATTCGTAAAGTAGTAATAAGGCAGTGAACTCTTTCCTACTGAGCCAACAGGACTTTTGAGCTATTTGAGCCTGTTGGTGAACTGATCCTTGGCTGGTAAAAAAATTGGCATCAGACCTTTTACTGGCACCAGGATTCCAGCAATTACATGACTTCCTCATTATTTTCTTCTGTCCTTGCAGATAGCAGCAGTGACTATAAAGGTTTTTGCGGAGTTGTTTTCCGAGCAATGTGGCGTCATTTCCCTAAGCAAATTAATCTAATTGGCTGACGGGTTGCCTTAATTAAAACCTTTCTGCAGCGTAGAAGTTTATTGGAGTGACAGCATTTTTTTAAAAAAGAAATCTGTTGTTGGTGAGTCTATTTTTTTTTTTATTCTTTCCTGTCTCTAAGAATTACACAGAAAGGAAAGAAGTACTAACATAAATGATGAATAAC